TACTATATTTTCTTTTCATGATTTCACAATAAATGTAAAGTCTATTTAATAATTTTTTGTTCCTAAGACAAGTCATGGTAGATGCACATTAAATTTATCTTTAGATGTATGTAATACTAAAACATTAAAATCTTAAATAATTATACAGCTCTCCCTTTTAGACTAATATTTGAACTTCCTCAAATTACTTTCTGTATTACTTAAAAAAATGATATATAATCTTCTGCTTTTGAAATTAGTTGAAACAAAATTTCATTATGATTATAGATAAAGAAATTATAGTAATTGACAATTAACTTTTAATATTAGTTTGTTAGATCACTGGAATTATAATTAAGTAATTAATAAACTGCTCACAACATATTCATTAAAAATGTAATATTCATTCTTACAGCATAATTAAGAGTTAAGGGGATTTCTAGAAAAACCGCTTGGTTTAGTAGATTTATGGTACAGGAATATAAAGGCGAAATCTAGTAATATGGCTCCTTATAAGTACTAAACTCTTTATACTATAACGACCTGCAGAAACTTCTAGAAATTTCATGTATTAATTTCTCTTTATTTACACTCATAAAAAAACTTAAGATTTTTCCTTTAACATAAGAGATTATTTAAGTATGAATGTTTTTATATATCTTAAATTTTCTTTAAACTATACATCTTACTTTTTAAAGATACAATTTTTCAAAATACATATATCAATATATTATAAAACTTGTTAATTATATATAGGAATTTAAACTATTTGTAACAATAAAGATTAAATTACTCACTGAATTAGAATCTTGAATATTCTATTGTAACCTAAATATAATACATTGTTATGAGTTCATTATTTTTAAAAATTCAATTCTTAGTTCTCATTTTTATCAATCTTTAAATCTTTAAATATAAGATTATTTATATAATTTTAAAATAGATTTTTGATTTAAAAAGAAAATATTTGATACAATGATAGTGGAATTATAAATTATTGATTATATATCTTTAATTTTTATTCTAAATCTATCGTTTTTCTATATTTTAAGAATATTTAGTAATTAAAAAAATTTATAGGAAATTTCAAAAGATATTTTAGAGTAGAAATATAAAACAAAATACAGAAAATTGATATCTGAATTAATTTTTACTAATTGAATTTAATGATGAAAGAAATGGGGTTCATCTATCATAGATTTAGACTATCTATACACAGTACACTGTTTATCATCTACATTATTCAAGAATGTTTTGTACCCTAATAAATCTTTATATATCCAAATTATAAAAATATTAATATTCTTTCAAATCTGAATTTAAATAAAAATTCTTCCTTTTTTATCATTATTTTATTTTCATTATATATTTCTTTAAAATTTAATATTTATTTATGAAGTAAAAAGGAAAAGAATTTCGAATGACAGCTTAGATTTTAACTTACTTGTGTGTCACTATAACTTTGAGAGAAAAAACTTAATTACAAAAGGTATGAATAGTGATAAAATCACTTTGAGTTTACTATTTATTTTTATAAATTTGAGAGAATCATGGTTTGTATCAATCGATAATTAATAAGTAGTTTGAAATCTTCATATAATTTCTAGTCTTACAAATATTGAAAATCAGCTAGAGATTCAATACCTTATTTATAAGATAGACTTTGAATATTTTTGTGTTATTATAGTTCAAAATTCAATTAGTATTTATGAAATAAACAATCTCATCAAGTTCTATATATTTTACTTCTTCTTACAGTGAGCTAATTTACTTTCTTCAGGTTTATTTAATATTTTTTGTAGGATCTGGAATTTATAAATTCATGAAGTAAATCTTAAAGGCAGTTTTGGCTTATTTTAATATTTATAGTATTTAATTAGAGTTATTATTAGAATTAGATTTATTTTTATTGTAATTTAATAATAGATTAAGCTTTTAGTTTTCATTTCAACAACAAAAATTTTATCAGATCACTAAATAGTGTTCAAAATTATAATTTATTGATAGCGATAAAATCAAATAAAGATGCCTATAACAATAGGAATGAGTTTAAAATAAATAATCAATTATACTTATTTTTATGTTTAAGCAATTATTTTAAAGCTGCTTTTTATTAAATAGGAGATGTTAAATTTTGCTTATTAAGAATTAATGAAAATAATAGTAATTTTACAATAATTTTAATTATATTGGTAATAATTTAATAATTCAATATAATGTTATAATTCTATAGATGATTATATTTATTTAAACTAAGTGTCTATTTTTCTTTATAGATAACTTCTTTTAGATTTGAACACTTTTCTCAAAAAATTATATTAATATATCCTATTTTTAATATAAGCTTATAAAAAAATAAATTATAAAAACAACCTTATAATTATTTTATTTTAATAATACATCAATTTAAACTCACTTTATTCATAATACCTATAGCACATATCCCAAAATTTTTAGAGTTTTTTATTTCATCATTGTTCATAACTTGTGACAAATTTGAAATTCATTAAAAATTACACCCAATTACCCAATTTAATTCTTTAGCCTTCTTAATCATAAGATTCTCCTCCACTAAAAAAACACATTTAATATTATTTTACATTTTATAATTTTCTAAAAAATTAAAC